TATGTAATGTCCGTCCTTGTCTTTCTGTACTGATTTTAATGAAAAGTTTATTTTGTCAGATATCAGGATAGCTACACCTGCTTTCTTATTGGGGGAATTTGATTGGTAGATCCTTTTCCACCCCTTCACTCTGAGTTTGTTTGTATGTTTGGCTGAGAGGTGGGTCTCCTGAAGGCAACAGATGGATGGGTCTTGTTTTCTGATCCAGTCCTCAGTTCGTTTTCTTTTAATTGGCGAATTCAGCCCATTTATATTAAGAGAAAGTATAGAGAGATGCATTGTTGTCCCTGCCATTCCGTTTTCCTAAGTTTTTCTTCTTTCCTTTCCTCCTGTGCTTGCTCAGTTAGACTTTGAGTAATGCCTGTTTGGGGCAGGTCCCAGTTCCTGGTTGCTTTCTTCAGGTTGTGTCCCCCCTCTTAGAATTCTTTGTAATGCTGGCTTAATGTTTATGTATTCATTTAGTTTTTCTTTGCTATTAAAAGTTTTCAGTTCTCCATCGAATGTGAATGCTAGCTTTGCCGGGTATATCAGTCTGGGTTGGCAGTTATTGGCTCTCAGGGCTCGTATGGTGCTTTCCCAGGCTTTTCTTGCATTCATTGTTTGTGTGGAGAGATCTGCAGTGATTCTAATTTTTTTCCCGTTGTAGTATAGCTCCTTCTTCATTTTTGCTGCATGCAGGATTGTTTCCTTATTATTCAGATCCATCATTGTTACTATTATGTGCCTAGAAGTGTTTCTCCTGGGATCTTGCTTGTTGGGTGTTCGATAAGCTTTTGTGATGTAGTTAAGATGGTCGTTTTTGAGGTGGGGAAAATTTTCATTGACTATCTTGTTAAATAGGTGTTGCATTCCCTTGCTCTGGAATTCCTCACCTTCGTCCACTCCGATTATGCGAAGGTTAAATTTTTTAGCATTATCTGCTTGCTCTTGAATTTCCCTTTGGTTTAATTTGAGTGCTTTTTCCATATCTGTCACTTTTTGGTCCAGTTGGTGTATTCTGTCTTCTGTATCTGACACTCTACCTTCCATTTCATTCACTCTGTTGACCGTGGCTTCTATTGTGGTTTGCATGATGGAAATGGATCCCTTTATGGATTCAATGTTGGTTCTCAGAGTACTGATCTCACCTCTCAATGAGGTGATATCAGTATGCATTACCTCTAATTTGGCGTTTATCTCACTTCTTACTGAGGTTTGTGCAGCTTCTATTTTTGCATCCAATTTTTGTTTGATATCCTGTATATCTTTTGATAGTTCATCCTTGTGCTCTTTCAATTTCTGATCCATTTCTCGCTTTATTTCTTGAGTCATTGCCTCCAGCAACCCTTGGATGTAGTTTTTGTCTTCCATTCCTGCTTTGCTCCCACTGGGGCTCTCCCCTGCGTGGCTGCTGGCTTTTGAGGTGAGCTTGCTGTCCTGGGTAGTGGTAAACCTTGTGATTTTTCTCTGTGATTTTCGCATGGGGGTTCAGGAGACTGCTCTTCAATCTTGTTTTGGTGTGTCTGTCTTTGCTTGGTTGCTGATTCTCTATTGGTAGAGAGAGTCTGTGTCTGATCTGGATTCTGTTGGGAGCCTATTTCCAGCTGCTATTCACTTAGGATTCTCAGCTCTCTGCTGTAGCAATTCCCGCCTTTGGAAGGGTTGAGCAGCCTAGACTGCTTGTGTTTGCTCCTGCGGGTGCTCTTGGGAAGATCAGATGCTCTGGATGCACTCTCCCAAATACTGGAGTCTGCTATGGGCTCCTGATGTGTTTTTGTTTGTTTTGGGCTGGTTGTGGGCTTGAACTCTAGGTTTGGGTGCTGTCCCTCAGCTCTTCAGCTCAGGGCTGGCACCCTACCATTTGAGCCACAGCCCCACTTCTGACCCTTTTTGCTTTGTTCTGGCGCCGGTCCCCTGGCCTGGTTCCGGCCCCAGCCTGGAGCGCGCTCGTTAGGCCTGTGCTAATGTGTATACCACCTTGGTTATGCAGCCTGGAGGACACAGATCAAATTTCTTCTACTGTTGGTAGTCTTGACCCAGGGGCACTGTTCCTGGCTTGAGCATTTAAGCTCCCTTCCCGGGGCGCTCTTGCTCTGGCCTGGCCAGCAGAGTGTGCTCCACCGGCTGGTGGGGCTCTCGAACAGTTCCCAGTTTTAGTGGGTCCTGTGGTCCGGGTGTTGGGGTAGGGAGTCTAGGTCAGGGTCTGGGGATTCCCTCCAGCTCTGGTCTCCCTTGATGGATTCCCTGTCCCCTGATGGGTACTCACCCTGTAGGTCGTCAGTTGTTGTTGCAGTCCGTCAGTTGTTGTTGCAGTCCGAGTTCAGTTGGGGTGGTTGCGGGCTGGGTTGGGCGGCCCCCCGCCGGGTCGTTGCGATCGCGACAGGTCCCTTTGTGGCGCTGCTGGTGCCGGGCGGCTTTGGCGGGATGGAGCCTCTCCGCTCCGGTGGAGAGTGATGGGTGGGGTGGGATCCTCCTGGAGACTCCCGGCTGGTAGGTTTCTCTGTTCCTGGCGATCCGCTGTTCTGCAATCAGGTACCTGGTGATCTGCAAGCAGCCCCCTGTGTCTCTGTGGCTCCGGCAGCCCCTGCCGGGCCGGCTGGCCGGCGGCTTGGCGCACTGCCGCGCGGCCAGTAAAGGTTGGGGGAGGGGTCTTCGCTCTTCTCTGTTCTGAAATTCTTCTTTTCCTCTCTTTCTTTTTTTGTTATTTTCCACCTCTGGTTTTTCTCTGAGTGTTCGTCTTTTTGTTGTTGTCGGTCTCTTGGGGAGATTAAAGGTTGGAACTCGAACTCTCTTTTTGGTTGGAGAGAGCTGTGGCGTTTCCCTACTGCCCCGTCGCCATCTTCCCACTCTCTCTAGTTAGTTTTTGGATAAGGTTTTTCACGTTTTGCCCCTGGGGCTAGCCTTCTCCCATAATCCTTTTGCCTAAAGCCTCCCATATAACTTGGAATCCAGGCATACACAGTATATTTTTTTGAGATGAGCCCCAGCTGCCCTTGCACCTACCATCCAAGTAGCTAGGATTATAGGTGTGAGCTACTGTACCGACCCCTGGAAATCATTAAAGTTTGATGCCAAATCTCTAATAATTTTCTTTTTTTTTTCATGGATTGAATATTATAATTTATCATAAAAACTAAAGAGTTAAAAAAAATTTTTTTGGTTGGTTGTGGGGCCTGTACTCTGAGCCTGGGTGCTATCCCTCAACAATTCAGCTCAAGGCCAGAGGTCTACACTTGAGCCACAGCATCACTTCTGGCTTTTTCTGCTTATGTGGTGCTGAGGAATTGAACCCAGGGCCTCATGTATACAAGGCAAGCACTCTACCACTGCACCACCTTCCTAACCCCAAGAGTTACTTTTTTTTTTGGGGGGGGGTCCAGTCCTGGGGCCTGAACTCTGGGCCTGGGTGCTGTCCCTCAGCTCTTCAGCTCAAGGCTAGCGCTCTGCCACTTGAGCCACAGCGCTACTTCCGGCTTTTTTCTTTTTGCTTATGTGGTGCTGAGGAATCGAACCCAGGGCCTCATGCATACAAGGCAAGCGCTCTACCACTGAGCCACCTTCCCAGCCCCAAGAGTTAAGTTTTTTGATTCATAGATTCTTTTGTTTTTTGTTTCTTTGAGACATGGTCTCGCCTTATAACACTAGCTGGCCTAGAGTTCAATGTAGCCTAGCTTGGAACGGGCCTCAAGCTTTTTATGTGTATGCCAGTTCTAGGACTTGAACTCAGAGCCTGAGCACTATCCCTGAATTTTTTGCTTAAGGCTAGTGCTCTACCACTTAAGCCACAGTTTCACCGCCATTTAGTAGAGATAAAGAATCTCACACTTTCCTGCCTGGGCTGGTTTTGAACTATGATAGTTAAGACTCAGCCTCCTGAGTAGCTAGGATTTCAGGTGTGAGCCACCAGCTCCCAGCCAGCCTCAAACTTTTTTTTTTTTTGGTCTGGTTGTGGGGCCTGAACTCTGAGCCTGGGCGCTGTCCCTGAGCAATTCAGCTCAAGGTTAGCGCTCTACCACTTGAGCCACAGCGCCACTTCCAGCTTTTTTGTTTTTGCTTATGTGGTGCTGAGGAATCAAACCCAGGGCCTCAGGCATGCAAGGCAAGCGCTCTACCACGGAGCCACCTTCCCAGCCCTATAGCCTCAAACTTTTGATCCTTCTGCTTTAAATTCTGAGAGCTAGGATTACAGGTGTAAGTCACCATGTCCAGTCTGAAACTGTACAATTTCTAAAACAATAGATCTTTTTATAATATAGCTTTGAACTTAAATACTTGTATATTTTTTACTTTCTCTTCTTTTTAATGATATAGCTGCATATTCTTCTAAACTACACTCACTCTTGGCTTTAGGGTCTTGGTGTCTGCCCCATTAGCAACTGAAATAATCTGTATAGAGTAGTCTCCTTTTATTTACTAGAGGTAAATAAAGATGCTCCTACTCAAGACGATCCTACTCCCCGGTGGATGCCGGACACTTCATATGCTTATATTTACACTGATTAGGGAGATGGCTACTAAGTGACTCATGAGCAGTAGCATATATTGAGTGGATGCACTGAACAGAGAGGACTCCCTTTCTGGGCTAGATGGAGCAGAGGCTTATAAATTTCTTTATGTTACTCACAAAAATATGCAGTTTAAAACTTATGAATTGCTTATTTCTAGACTTTTCTGTTTAATACTTTCATGTCAAGGTTAAGTGAAGCTAGGAAACAAAACAGGATGGGGGGACTACAATAATTCCTCTTTTACATTTTCATGGTGTGTATGTATTTTTAGGGGATAAGGGGGCCTGGTCTTGGGGCTTGAACTCAGGACCTGGGCTCTGTCCCTGAGCCTCTGTGCTCAAGGCAAGAGCTCTACCACTTGAGCCACAGCTCCACTTCCAGGATTTTGTGTTTACGTGGTACTGAGGAATTGAACCCAGGGGATCAAAATTGAACCCAGTGTATGCTAGGCAAGTACCACTAAGCCACATTCCCAGCCATCATGGTATATTTCAAAAATATTTTTCATTGGAGACTTTCAGAAACTCACAGCAGCTGATGATAAAACTGCTCAAGTAGAAGATTTTCTGCAGTTCCTTTACGGTGCAATGGCTCAGGATGTCATCTGGCAAAATGCCAGTGAAGAACAGCTTCAGGATGCTCAGTTGGCTATCGAACGAAGTGTGATGAACCGGATTTTCAAGCTTGCTTTCTATCCTAATCAGGATGGGGACATACTTCGTGACCAGTGAGTACTTTGTGTTGAACTACATAGATGTATGGGTAGCCCTGCATTTGAGGCAAGCTATGCCTGTGTTTTGATATCTGACAGTAAAGAGAAATAGCTCAGTTACTAGTTTTCACTCATCAGAGTTGCACTGTCAAGAATAATACCTCATTTTCAGAGATGTCAGACTGAAATGTTTTTGATTGAATCAGGGTCTTGAGCCACACCTTCAGTCCTTTTGATTTTAGCTTATATTTCAGAAAGGCTTTTATACTTTTACTCAGGCTGGCCTTGGACTATACTCTTCTTACATATACTACCACATTTGGCTCTTTTTGTGTGTGCCAATCCTGAGACTTGAACTTAGGGCTAGGCACTGTCTCTGAGCCTCTATGTTCAAAGCTAGCACTCTACCACTTGAGCCACAGTGCCACTTCTGTGAGATAAGGAGTCTCACAGCCTTTTGTGCCAAGGCTGGCTTTGAACTGTGATCCTCCGATCTCAGCCTCCTGAGTAGCTAGTAGCTAGGATTACAAGTGTGAGCCTCTGGCTCCCTGCTTGGTCCCTTTCTTTAGTACCATCTGTCACTTGTTGAGTCATACTTCTCAGCCTTGCAGAATTGACATTTGGAGCCAGGTGCTTCTTTGCTGTGGGGTATTGTTCTGTACAATGTTTTGTTTTGTTTTTTCCAGGATTATGATCTTTTTTTAATAAGGTTTTTATTATGAAAATACTGTACAGAGGGGTTACAGTTATATGAGCAAGGTAATGAGTATATTTCTTATCAAGCATTGTTGCCTCCTCCTTTGTTTTTCCCCTATCATCCCTTTCCTCCCACCTCCACAACTACACTCCCCTCCCCCACCCCCAGTTCTGTACAGTGTTTAGCAGATTCTGTCCCGTTCTTGATGACAGGTTTGTGTGATCATTTGGTAAGTTTCATCATTTTCTACCCTCCACGAGAGAGGAAATGATACTTTTATTCATGATGTCAGTGTCATAGTACATATGCTTATATAATATTTAATGGAATTGTTACTTATTTGAATATCAACAGATATGTGGAATTGTATAGTCTGTGAGTTATGTATTAATAAAGCTACTTTAAAAAGTAATCCTAGGGGGTAGGGATATAGCTTGTGGTAGAGAACAAAAAGACCCTGAGGTTAGCCCCCGGTATTTTAATGAGTTTAATGAGTAGTCATTTCAGAAAAATAGTCTGGAATAGTAACATTGGTTATTTTGGGGTATTGAGAGTATAGATGAGATACACAGTTTTTCTGAGCACTGTTTCTGTTTCAGTTAAAGTTGTTAGCATGCTTCCCAGTACTAACAGTGGCTTGCTTCATCCAGTGACTCTTGAGGCTCATTAAGTAAGACCTCAAGGGAAATTACTAAGTGATTTATATGTTTGTTTGTTCTTTTTTTTAACTGATTTTTGTTCTTCTTTTTGGTTCTGCTGGGTATGGAACTCAGGGCCTCACACATCTAGACAACTGCTGTCCTACTGTGCCATACCCCAGCCCTACAGAAATTTTAGGAGGTTTGGGATCACTGCAACATGCCTTCTTAGGTGTGCACAGCCTTCCAGGCTGTTCGTTCACTCAGGTCTGTTTCTCTAGAGCATCAGGCACGGGATAAGGAGTTGGGAATTTAGTGCAGAGAGTACTTTCTTTCTGCCCATTTCTCTATGGCATTTCTACAGCCTTAACAGAGTGTCTATCAAGAGCAAACCAAGTGTCTGCATAGAGCACTGGAAGCCAACAAGCATAGTTTGGCCCCTTTTCAACTGAGGCAGTTCCTTACCTTTTTAATCCTAATTATCTCATCTACAAAATGAGGGGTTGGACAATGATAGAGTTCCTTCTATAGGTAAAATCTCAAGTCCTCTTGCTTTCCTCTCACGTTTGCCTTTCCCCTCACTACTGTTGTCTCCTGAGTGGTATGTCCTCACTGGGGGCCATCCCAACCCAGGAGAGGAGAGCAGCGCCCCCTCAGCTCACTCAGCATTTCTAAGATACAGGAAGGATCTCACTGTATAGACCAGTCTGACCTTGAGTTTGGGATTCTCCTCCTCAGCCTTCTGAATGTTGGGATTACATGTACCAGCATGCCTAGATAAATAATAAGGTGGGTTTTTGTTTTGCTTTAACAGGAAAGAATGCGGTTAAGAGAGGGTCTTAGGGGCTGGGAAGATGGCTCAGTGGTAGAGCACTTGCCTTGCATGCCTGAGGCCCTGGGTTCGATTCCTCAGCACCACATAAGCAAAAAGAAAAAAGCCAGAAGTGGCGCTGTGGCTCAAGTGGTAGAGCTCTAGCCTTGAGCTGAAGAGCTGAGGGACAGCGCCCAGGCCCAGAGTTCAGGCCCCACGACCGGACCCAAAAAAAAAAAAAAAGAGAGGGTCTTAGATGTAATTATAATCTATATCTAGAAATGTCTAAAATGTGTTAACTGGTTTCAAAAATGTCAATTATGACTATGTATCTTTGTTTTCTGAAATGTGTATTTACATTTACATTTTGGGGGTTTTTCAGGGTTCTTCATGAACATATCCAGAGATTGTCCAAAGTGGTAACTGCAAACCACAGAGCTCTTCAGATACCAGAGGTAAAGTGGGTTTATGTGGTGCGGGCTGCAGGAATATTACATTCATGCTTTGTTAGAGAACTAGAGTTCAGTAAAACAGAAAATCCCAATTGCACAAGATGTTGTTCGCTGTTGTAACTGGTTTTTTTTTGTTGGTTTTTTTTTTTTTTTTTTTTGGGTCCAATCATGGGGCCTGAACTCTGGGCCTGGGCGCTGTCCCTCAACTCTTCAGCTCAAGGCTAGCGCTCTACCACTTGAGCCACAGCGCCACTTCCGGCTTTTTTCTTTTTGCTTATGTGGTGCTGAGGAATCGAACCCAGGGCCTCAGGCATGCAAGGCAAGCACTTTACCACTGAGCCATCTTCCCAGCCCTGTTGTAACTGTTTTGGTCCTGAAGGTGCTTCTCACCTGGCACAGAAAGGGTCCGTAGTGATAGAGAGGAAAGGGAGCCAACAGGAGAGCCCCTTCCTAGAGACACTCAATGCCCAGGCAGAGATGTAGTCTTCAACTCATGGGTGGGCAGTGTTCTGCCTGCACTTTTCAGAAGGTGCCCATTCCCTGGAGCTACTTCACCAGTCCTGTTTGTGTTGGCTGATTGGTTTATTTATTTATTATTTATGTTGGATGACTGGCATATGCCACTGCTTCTAGCCATTGGTGGAGATGGAGCCTCAGGTATTAGCTGTCCTATTTTAAGTAGGGGTTGGTAATTTTTCAAAGGGGATGGGAACTGTTATTCTAGTCTAGAAACAGTCCAGTCTGACATGGCTTTGGATTACATTTTAGTAATTGATTTTTTTTTTTTTTTTTGAGGATGTGGTATTGGGTTTGAACTTGGGGCTGTTGTATTTGCTAGTCTGGTGTGATACCATTCAGCTATACTTCCATCCTTGCCTGCCTGCTTGCCTGCCTGCTTGCCTGCCTGCTTGCCTGCCTGCCTGCCTGCCTGCCTGCCTGCCTGCCTGCCTTCCTGCCTTCCTTCCTTCCTTCCTTCCTTCCTCTTCTTCCTTCTTTCCTTCCTCTTCTTCCTTCCCCTTCCTTCTTTTTTTCTTCTGAATTTAGACCTTGCACTTGTTTGGCTTGGTTACTTTGCTAGCACCCTGCCACTTAAGGCATATTTCCAGCACAGCTTTTATGCTGGTTATTTTGAAGATGGAATCTTTCAGACTTTTCTGCTCAGGCTGGCTTTGAACTGTGATTCTCTGGGTCTCAGCATCCTGAGTGTGATTACAAGTATGAGCCACTGGTATCTGCCTCTTCCCTGTCCTTCAATGTGTAGGATAGGGTTTTGCTCTCTACCCAGGATCACAGCTGTGTGCCACTATTTACATCATTCCTCCATAGAGATAGTTCTTGAAGACTTTTCTGCCCAGACTAGTCTGGTACCTTGATCTCTCCACATAGCTTGAATGATAGGCATGTGTCACTGTGCCCAAGTATGGGTGGAGAAATTTTTTTGCAATTTTTTTTCTTCTGCTCTCAATGTTCCACATAGCTAGGATTACATGTTTGAGGCACCAGAATCTACAGATGTTAGCATCTGTCTTGCATCTTTTATAAATTAAGAAAACTGGAAAATGTCAGCAATTTGAGATTTCTGATTATTTTTATTAAGTTACCAACTAATGAAACATTAACATACATTTTTAATTTTCTGTGGTTTTTCTTTTTTGAGAAAGGATCTGTTTGTAGATCCAAAAATGGCACTTACTACTACAGTGGTACATACTAGTTTTTAAGTTGTCTTGTTTTTTAATTAGTTTGTGCTTTTTTTTTTTTTTTTTTTTTGGTTGGTTGTGGGGCTTGAACACCAGGCTTGGGCGCTGTCCCCACACTCTTCAACTCAAGGCAAGTGCTCTACCACTTGAGCCATAGCACCGCTTCCGGTTTTCTAGTGGTTTATTGGAGATAAGAGTCTCACGGACTTTCTTGCCTGGGCTGGCTTTGAACTGAAATCCTCAGATCTCAGCCTCCTGAGTAGCTAGGATGACAGGCGTGAGCCACTGGTGCCCTCCAGTTTGTGCTTTTGGAATCAGCTACTAAATATAAAGAAATTTTCTTTAAGCTATTTAAGAAAGACAATAAGCTGGGCGCTGGTGGCTCACACCTGTTATCCTAGCTACTCGGGAGGCCGAGATCTGAGGATTGCAGCTAGAAGCCAGCCTGGGCAGGAAAGTCCCCATGAGACTGTTATCTCCAGTTAACCACTCAAAACCCAGAAGTGGCACTGTGGCTCAAGTGGTAGAGTGCTAGCCTTGAGTACAAAGAGGCTCAAGGACAGCTCCCAGGCCCTCAGTTCAAGCCCACAACTGACAGAAAAGAAAGATAATAGTTTGACATTTTATGAATCCTCAGTTCTGTTATTATTACATGTTCTCTATATATGGATATTTGGTTCTATTTTTATTGTTGTTGGTTTTTGGTTTTTTGTCCGTCATGGGGCTTAGCTCTGGGCCTGGGCGCTGGCCCTCAGCTCTTCAGCTCAAGACCAGCACTCTATCACTTGAGCCACAATGCCACTTCCGGTTTTCTGGTGGGTTATTGGAGATAAGTCTCACAAACTTTCCTGCCTGGGCTGGCTTTGAACTGCGATCCTCAAATCTCAGCCTGCTTAGTGTTAGGTTTTAAAAAGAGGTTGCTGAGTAAGAACCATACCACACACATGGTATTCAGATAAGGGATAGGTTTATTCAGTAGACCTGCTGGGACCAGGCCAGGTTGGCTCTCCCTGCGACTGGCAAAGAGTGCGTCTGACCTTGGGCTAGGCCTTATCTAGGGTAGGGGCGGGGTAAAGTGTGGCCAGGTAAAGGGAGGTGGGACCAGGTGAGAGAAAGGTATGGCCACATCAGCTCCAGATGTGACCTCAGCAGATGCAGATGTGACCTCTTCCAGGTGTGCCAGTTGCCTAGGTAACACAGGTACTGGGTGGGGTCTGCTCGCTATCCAGGAGTGGACCTTGTACACTTAGTAGCTAGGATTACAGGCATGAGCCACCGGCGCCCAGCTTTGTTTTATTTTTAAATGCAAAACAAATTATGTAAAGTTGAAATGGGATTTAATGTTTGGTGGAAGGAGAAGAAAATGCAGTGCAGTTTTACTGAAGAAAGGGAAAAGCCACTACCTCCTGACTGGGCGGTGGCCAGGATTGCTGCGCCTGTTGCTGTTGGATTCATGATGCATATCTTCTGTTGTCTCATTTAGGTGTATCTTCGGGAGGCACCGTGGCCATCTGCACAGTCAGAAATCAGGACAATAAGTGCATACAAAACCCCCCGGGACAAAGTGCAGTGCATCCTGAGAATGTGCTCCACCATCATGAACCTCTTGAGCCTGGCCAATGAGGACTCCGTGCCCGGGGCAGATGACTTTGTCCCCGTGTTGGTGTTCGTTCTCATAAAGGTGGGGCCTTTACCAGTGTCAGTCGAAAAGTGTGGCATCCTGAGCAGGCTGGCACAGAGCTTCACATGGGTTTAGAGTCTTGGGCTCCTTTCTGTAACCAAGAAAGATGTCTAATAGCAAGGTGTGTTCTGAAAGAAAGGATGTGAGGCCTTTTTAGATGACTGTTTGCTGCTTTTACTTATTTATTTTAAATACAATTTTATTATTACTTTTTATTTTTGTGGTACTGAAGAATGGAACCCAGGGCTTCATGCATGCTAGGCAAACACTCTACTCCTACATTCCTAGCCCCTGTTTTTTGCTTTTTAAAGCCCCTGTTTTTGCTTTTTGTTTTTTGCCTCTGTCCTTGACAGGACTTAGCGTGTGTGGCTGAGTAAGAGAAGAGGGCAGGCTCTGTGCTGGACCATGCCCCACCTTTCACAGGATCCTTTAGTGCTCACTAGACAGACCAGCAGGTCAGCACTCACCTCTCCCTTCATCTTTGTAATCACACATAATTATCATTCATTCATTCATTCATTTATGGTGCTGGTCCTAGGACTTGAACTCAAGATCTGGGTGCTGTCTCTGAGATCTTTTTGCTCAAGGCTAGCACTCTACCACTTGAGCCACATCTGGACTTTTCTGTGTATGTTGTACTGAGGAATCGAACCCAGAGCTTCATGCATGCTAGTCAAGCCCTCTGCCACTAAGCCACATTCCCAACCCTATCTTTTCCTTTGACTCTAAAATTAAAGTTTTTTCAGTTTTCTTTGAAGATTTATGAGTGGCCATGGAGTTGGAGTGCACACTAATGCTCAGTGAGGACATTTGCATTACTTGCTTGTGTGAGACACACACACCTGCTCTGTTGCTGGCTGCAGTGTGCTTGACATGTGTCTCACTAGTTCTTAGTGTTGCTGATATTTCTACCCCTGGAACTTGGACTGGAGGTCGAATCTTAGCACTTTGGCTGTCAGTTTGTCTTTCTTGCTATAGAAAGACATGTAATCGGTCTGGTCCTACTGCAGAGCTAGTTTAAGCTCATTTTAAGGCAAGGGCTTTGACTTGTTCTCCCAACCATTTAACAACCTATGTCCTTTATCTCCACATTAGAAAAAGAAGAAGCAGGAGATGTTTTGTGTTCCCTCTTGCTATAGAGGATGCATTACCTTTTTAAAGTGTTTCTTTCTCAGCTGGGTCTACCCACATTTACCAGTTATAACCCAGTTTGTCTGCAGCATTTATTTTTATTTATTTTTTTTTTTTGGGTCTGGTCATGGGGCCTGAACTCGGCCTGAGCGCTGTCCCTCAGCTCTTCAGCTCAAGGCGAGCGCTCTACCACTTGAGCCACAGCGCCACTTCCAGCTTTTTTCTTTTTGCTTATGTGGTGCTGAGGAATCGAACCCAGGGCCTCAGGCATGCAAGGCAAGCGCTCTACCACTGAGCCACCTTCCCAGCCCATCTGCAGCATTTATTTGCTTGCCTAACTTTTGGGAATCTTATGATATTAAGACCCTAGGAATTAGCCCAGCCTCCATAGGGATCAGAAAGATTAGTGTCTTAACCGAATAGAAAGCTGTAGGTAGAATAGCTAGGATTAGAACCAGTCTACCTTCCCAATATACTGTTACTACTGGTAGTATTGTTTACAAATTACTTCCAAAAGGTAGTTTGGGGATTATTGTCAAAAGGATGTGTGGGCTTTTTTGTTCATGAAAGAACAGGTACTTAGATGATTTGGGCACAGCACTTGTGCGATTGGCTCTTTATTTGCTTCTCTAGGCAAACCCACCCTGTCTGCTGTCCACCGTGCAGTATATCAGTAGCTTCTACGCCAACTGTCTGTCTGGGGAGGAGTCCTACTGGTGGATGCAGTTCACAGCAGCTGTGGAATTCATTAAAACCATTGATGACCGGAAGTGACCAAGACCCAAACCCACCACCACAGCCAATTGTTAGTCTGGCAAACAATCCCCTAAGAACATGTAGCCACTGCTTTGAAGGCTGAAGATTGTTTTTGTATAATATTGTACAGCATTCAGACATTTTAAAACAGATCTTTACTAAACAGATTAATGTGCTAACAAGCAGGCTCTTTTTTCTTTGGGCTCTTCTCCTTTGTGATAATGTGTACTTTATCCCTTGTCCCACATAGAGAATATTACTCAGAAGGGGACCAACATTGAAGAACAGACCAGACTCTCTTGGGAAATTTCTAGATCTCCATGGATATCCCATTCTTTTATTTTCAAAAAGAATAGTACACCTCTTTTAATATGCATCAAATGGAAGGAAGATACCATCTGCACTGAGGATTAGAACAGTGGTATTTGTGGCATTATCTATAAATACACTCACCTCTAAGTTGAGACGCTAAGAAGGAAATGTAAATATAATATATATTTATATTTGATGTAATATGGACATCTTCAGATTCTAATAAACAAGGAATATTGCTGATAGTAGGTTGTGACATACCCTCTTGTGAAATGGTTTCCTTGACAAAATTTAAGCTGAGCTTAAAAGCAGAAAACACACAGGACTATTTATGAAAGTGTGAATCAGTTTATTGAAGTCTGTAGTCGTGGTGTCTGCCAAGGAGTGTGGTGCGTAGGCTGGTCTTGCCATGGACGTGTGGAATCCTGCATAGGAGCAGACTTCAGTTCTCACACACTCCATAGGAACAAGCAGTTGCATCTGCCTGCATTGTGGTACTTCTTCTCTGGATGCTAAGTGTTCCATAGAAACCCCAAACAGAGCTCCTTGCAACCCTTTAACTGTTCGATAACTTTAATGATTATTCACATTGAATGCACAGATCAGGAATTCAGTGAATGTCATTTAAAAAAAAAAAAAACATAAAACTAATTTGTATTGCCTGCTCTAGTGTTACAAGTTTTACTAGTGATAAACTATTTTAATCAACCATCCTATTCTTATGGAAAGAAATCTATTTTGGCAGGTTTCTGTGCCTTTTTTCCCCTCTTCTGTGTTTCACTATTGGTTTGCATTGCACACCAGTAATTAATTAATCAGGACTAGCCTTTGGTGCTGAGCAGCTGGCCAAGGAGACACACCAGAGCTTCAAGCACACACCTGGTACATAGGCTGTAGCTGACCACTTCCCAAGTGTCAGCTTCTTTTATGACAAATGCTGTAGCCCCGTAATTTTGAGTCTTGTTGGCAGCATTTCCAGGCATCTTTAAAGGGACCTGTGAGCACCAGCTTTGAGTAGATGGACACAGAGGCTGTCTGCTATCCGAGACCTGTTTCATAATGCCAAAAGAAGCTGAGTATTCTTCATGCCTCCACCTCTTCTAATTCATTTATTTTAAAGTACCAAAATGGTCATTTTTATAGGAGTGTGGGATGGGGTTTCTGCCTTCTAGGGAGAGATCAAAGTCAAAACTAGTACTGCAAAATGTCCTTTTGAATGTCTGATGGAGAAACTCACAGTCATGAGCTTCATGGGCCATCATTGTCACCCTGCCAGGGTATTAGAAGTCATATGCCATCATAAGTACACAAAGACTGTGTAACACGTCTTCTGGAACCTAGATAGGAGTCCATTTTCTTCAGCCTTTGATTCAATAAATCTTAATCAACAGAAGTCTTGGAATACTTGGAATTCATTGTTACGGGATTTAACTCATAAATCAATGAGATTGTTTTTTTTCCCCTTTGCAATGGTAACTAAATATACCCCATGTTATCATTGTGGAAATAAATATGAAGATGTGGACATTGCACCAAAGCTCTTTCTATGTGGTATACGACTGCACTGGAGGCAGGAAGTGGCCTCTACAGTGCTCAAGCTGGTGGTGAGATAGAGATCAGCATTGTACACCTCTGTACTCATGCCAGCAGAGGAGCACAGTGCTGTTCTAGGCCAGCCAGCTGTTCCAGGATTTCCCTCTGAAAACCCTGTCCAGAGCCAGGGGTTATCAGCAGTAACCATCATCAGTTTGGTTTCATGGTGGAACTTCTTGTAGGGTTGATTTTTCAGTTTAGGATTTAGTCATCTATGGTTGTAGGAGTATGCAAGAAGTAAATGTTTGAGTAGTTCATACTATGTTTCCTTCCTTCCTTTTCTATAGGAAGGATTAGTGCAAAAGCACAAATTCACCCTTGGTAAACGTTACACCAGTTATTTCAGAACTGACAGAATGGTTAGTGGGGAGACAGTGGCTCCGCTCACTGAAGTCTTATAGAATGAACGTCTCTTAAAGGAAGAGAAAGATGAGTTTATATTTTCTGATGATAGTATTCTGCTTCTGGAAGGAATAGGAATACAAACTGAAGATGGTCCTTGTGAAAAAATGGGGGGAGGTTGGGGAATAAACACCTGGTAAATACTTTGTTTTCTCTCTCCATTTTGGTTAATACTTTGGCCTTACTCATCACTTTCTTTTGCTTTTTCTCTGTAAAAACCTGTGTATGAACGTCTTTAGACACAGCTATACAGTGGTAGTAGGGAATCGAGACCTCCAGGGGATTGAAAATAGAAATGAATGATACGTGGTTTTTCTTTTCCTCTTGTATCCTGAAAGCCTTTATCTCAAGTGGACTTTAGAAATATATATATTCTTAAAGTACATACACACAAAGAGAACAAAATCCTAGCCCCTGAGCAGTAAAGAGCTGGCGTGAGTTCTTGCCTGAGAGCCTGCAGCAGAGGCAGGTAGAACAGAGGTTCTCTCTCCTCTCACCCATCAGAGCAATTGCTGTTTGGGCCAAGCACAGACAGCGAGGTGTTTTAAATGTGTGAGGTTTAATGGTGAGAAGAGGGAAGTTCTTAGTGGATTTTGTAACTGTGATAGAAATGTAGTGATTTGTGTACTCAGGGCCACAGCCCACACTGCTGCCTCTCCATTTGAAGTCTGTGTGTTTTCCCTCACAGTTCTTTGAAGTCTAGTGAGTTGATTCTTTAAGCAATTGCTGTCATTGGGAGGAGGGGTAGATACAGACTTTTTTGATGCTCAAACTATTTTTAGAAAGTGAACAACAATGCTGTTTGCCAAGATGTTTGACAGCATTGCCAAATAGGTAGTTTCTTTATGTTAAGGATGTAGGGTGACCGGGAATAGCTTTGTTACCGGTGAGAACACTTGGAAGAAATACAATAGAGCCAGATGCCCGGGGAAGCCGAGGCTAACCCTGGAGTCCCTGAAGCGGAGTTCAGCAGTCTGAGATGGGGGCCTTCATCTCTGCCAAGGTGCCAGTCTGTCCTGTCTACCGTATCCATGTGTCACCTGTACTACAAAGCTTTGTATGGCCCCTCCAACTGACCACCCTTTGTACAGGTCCACTCATGAGCCTGCAGTCTTGTATGTGAGCAGGAGGAGTGGGCCTGCCTCCCACGCAATTACTGTACTGTCATTCTGTGAAACTGATTAAAAGGGAGGGCAGTCTCTACCAGGCTGTACGTTTCCATCATCTGTTGCGTGTTGAGAAGCGTTTCTGGAAATCCGACTTCTTGAGTGTGACTGACATCCTCCATGAATTCACACTGTCTCCCATGTGAACACCTAAGGATCGCACAGAAAGGAAGTGGCCTAGGGCAGCCACCACGTGTGATGCGGTGAACAGCAATGGTTGTGATTCTTCATAGCTGACCTCTCCCTAGGAGCCGCTCCGGAGGCCCCACTCTGCGTGGTAGTGCAGTGGCATCTGATCACAGCACTCCTCGCCAGCCGAGGAACTTCCTAAGTAGATGAGCCTTGGCTCACAGAGGCAAAGCCCCTGGCGACTTGACGCTGCCCTCCCCAGTGGGAAGGGCCTCCCAGAGTCTCCTGTACTTCATTTAGGAGGGAATGTTTAAAAGCTGGCTTAGGGCTTGGGTTTTCCCCCCTCCACTATTGGGTGTTGAACTCAGGCCCTTGTGCTCCTCACTTGGCTTGCTTGCTCCACTTGTACTTCACTATTGAAGCCATGTCTCCAGCCTGGCATTTTGCTGGTTAATTGGAGATGAAGTCTCAAAGACTTCTGCCTTTGCTGGCTTCAAACCACCGGTTCTCCAGATCTCCGTCTCCTGAGTAGCAAGGGTTACAGATAGGAGTCACTGGCAGCTGGCTTAGGGCTTGGTTTTATTTACTCTTCAATATTACAATGAGTACTCCAACTTACCTAGATTTGAAAGTATTCTGAATTTCTGTTTTGTGGTGGTGGTGGTGGTTGCTTGTTTATTCTGTGGTAGTGGGAGTTGTACTTGGGGCCTTGCGCGTGCTCTGAAGGCATGCTAACATTTGAGCCACCCCTCCAGCCCCTTTTGCCTTTTTTTTTTTTTTTTGGTGTGCACACACACACCTACACTGGTACTAGGACCTAACTAGTACTGGCTAAGCTTTTGTTTAGCTTTTTTTTGGCCAGTCCTGGGCCTGGGGCTTAAATTCAGGCCTGGGCACTGTCCCTGAGCTGCTTTTGCTCAAGGCTAGCACTCTACCATTTGAGCCACAGTGCCACTTCCAGCTTTTTCTGTTTTTGTGGTGCTGAGCAATCAAACCCAGAACTTCATACATGCTAGGCAAGCACTCTACCACTAAGCCACTTCTGCTTCTGGCTTTTTGTTTTGTTTTGTTGGGGGTGGGGGGGTCCAGTCGTGGGGCCTGAACTCTGGGCCTGGGCGCTGTCCCTCAGCTCTTCAGCTCAAGGCAAGCGCTCTACCACTTGAGCTACAGCGCCACTTCCGGTTTTCTGGTGGTTTATTGGAGATAGGAGTCTCACGGTCTCTCTTGCCCGGGCTGGCTTTGAACCGTGACCCTCAGATCTCAGCCTCCTGAGTAGCTAGGATTACAGGCGTGAGCCACCAGCGCCCGGCTCAGTCTTGTATTTTTCTGATAGGATCTTATGTGTTTGCTCAGCTTGAGATCCTTCCATCTGTGCCTCTGACATGGCTGGGGTTCACAGGCGTGCACCACTATGCCCAGCTTGACCTTTGAGACGGGTTCAGCTTTTAATTTTTTTTTGCCCATTCTGGCCTCAAACCTCCATCCTCCTGATCTTCACCTCTCAAGTCACTGGGCTTACAGGCGTGAGCCACTGAGTTTTTTGTCTAGTACTCATCAGCGTTGTGTAAAATAACGGTGCAGTAGCCCCTGCTCAAAGCAGAGGGACTTCTGGTGTGCTAGCCATCCCCTGCTTCCCCCATTAGCACCTGCTTTCCTACTTCTGGGTTATTTGCCTCTTTTTGGTGACCTTTCCTTCTCTTGATGGTGACCTATGTGGCCATGAGGGGCCCAGGCTGGGGGGCGGAGGGGGGCGGGGAAAGGCATGGGAGAGACTAAAGGAAGACGTTTGAGGACCATCCTACTCCAGTATTACAGGAGCGAGGAGAGCTCTGGTCCCATCATGTACTGAGAAGCCATTGGCCGAGGCTTGGGAAGCAGAGCTCTGTTGTCCCCTATGGACACTGTGCCCCAGCCAACCCTAGTTTTGCCATCTCTGTGAGACCTTACCCTGTTCTTCCTCTGCAGCCAGCCCTTCATTGACCCCAGGTGCAGCCAGAACATCCCTGTTCAGACCCTGACAGGAGCAGCTGCCCCCAGGGGAGCTTGTGCCGGGCCAGTGATGGCAAATTCAGGCAGCAGACTTCTCGTCAGCCTGGGATATGGAGGCTGACGAGACATGCGGGCGTCCCGACAAGACAGCATGGCACAGGCACTCGGACAGCCCGGGCCTTGGTAAACAACCTGCGCACAAAGCAGCTACTCTGAGAACCTGAGATTAAAGGCTCTGCTGCAGTCATGCAGAATAACTACAGGAGACTAAACTGTATCCTCTGCTGGGCTGGGGTACTTTAATCTGTAAATAAGTACCCTGCCCTCAGGACCATCCCCCCAACCTCTCAAACATCCCAAGGAAATGACTTCTTTTGGGGAGGAAGGACCAGGGTTGCTGCCCTGCTGTCCCTCCGTCTTCCAAGTGCTGCTCTCCGTGTCTCCCCTGCCCCCTTCTAGGTGCTCTTAGAAACAGAGAACGTGGCTTAGAGTGC